CGCCAAAGATCAGGTAGAGTATGAGAAAGACAATGGCGAGAGGTACGTCAGGCACAATGGCAGGGGTTCCACCCAGGCCGGCATTGAGGGGCGCATATGGAGGGCCTCGACTGGCTTGCCCAGAAGCTCCAGACTGATCATGGTTAGTTGCGCGTAGAAGGAGGCTGGAATTGACATCACTCACTGGAGGTCCTTGGGTTCCTTGCTGCGACATCTTTGCCCGTTTGATGTTGGACGTGTGAAACGTTTGCTGCAGAGGAGGTTGGAGAGAACCAAAAAGCTCTACCTGGGAGGCGGGAACGAGGTGGTGTATATCAGGTTCTACTGCCACGCGACTGATGCAGTCTAAACGGTAGTATGCATCGCTTAGAGCAGAGCAGCGGCTGACCCAGATAAGCAAACTAGATGACGACTATGCAATAACCATACCATGTTCAATCCCATTGGATGGACGGTCGTTCCATACGACGGGCCCGGCCTATCCGCAGCCGTGCCTAGATGTGGCAGCACAAGGCCTCACTGGATTGGGGCTACCGGCTTCTGCGGTGAGTGGATACCTACCGCACCCGTGGTACGCGAGCGATCTTTCCGCAGATCTAACGTTTGCTATTCTCAACGCATAGTATGCTTTTTCTCATTCAGTCTCCTTTCTGCGGTGTATAGGTGTTCTTGCATCTTGAGGAATGTACAACATGTTTTCCATGACCAAGAACACTGCTTACATTGCGCCGCAGTCAACTGTGCCTCAATAAGGTGCCTTCATGTTGACGTTATCGACGGCTGACGGTAGTACCGGGTCTCCTCAGTGATGCCGGAGATCAGCAGAACGCAGTTCCTGAGTGGATGGTCGGCGAAAACGTCAAACGAGCACCGACCCAGATGAACCCAAACCGGGACAGGGCACTGCCTTGGGCACGGTTCTGAATGATGCGTCCATCGGGGGGTTTTGCAGAACAAAGGCCGACCTGCTTTTGCCCCGAAATAGACGTCGCATGTGAAAGCCTAGAGGAGGCTGAGAGATAAGGTGTCGCACTTGCATAAAGGAGCGAATTGAGCGTGTGTCAAGCTAGGGAAAAGGAGCAGTTGAGGTTGAGAATGGATATCTTGAGGTGTGGTGTGGCGGATGGCAGCTACCCCAGATTTTCGGAACGGTGAAACTGATCGGAATGATGCTGGAGCTCGACGTTGCGTGTGTCCAACCACAACGTTCAGCACATCGTAATCTCGGCCAATGCTTCCTCCAAACCCCGTCGTAGTTTCCGCAATTTCGTAGCCTTCGCCATGCCGCCCAAGACTAAACAACGCGCGGTCAAGTCCGCCGGCACAAAGTCCAAGAAAGCCATCCCACAGCCCTTCACCGCAGCCCCGGCTGAACTCGAGACGCTCCTGTCCACCTTCGACCGCTCGCTCGTATACATAACACATGTCGATGTGCATCCAGCCTGGTTCAAGCGGCGTATATTCGGCGTCCCCGTCCTCCTCAACACGGCCATAACCGCGCTCGTACTATGGCGCCTGTACGTCATCGGGCCTCACTACTGGGCCATCCTCATGTCCGTCATGGGAAACCACAATGAGACTACCATATACTGGGCAGGCACGCCTTGGGCAACTCTGCTATGGAGGGTAGGAAAGCGCATGGCAATGTTCATGCTGGACTTCCTACTTTTCCGGTTCGTGGCGCTCTGGCCGTTCACCTTCTTCATTGAGCAGCCAGGCAATCCCGTGAGCTGGCGGTGGAATGTGGGCTTTAGGGACGAGGAGGTATATGTGAGGGTCAGCAGAGGATGGGGAGCCAAGGACCTGCTTGGGGAGGCTGAAGGTGGAAGTGGGCGTGCAGGCGCGGATAATCCCTTCTTCAAGACCAGAGTTCTGCCCGCGGTTGACAAGACGAGGTTGAGGGAGAAGACGGGATATCTGTTGATGGATTCAGACTTCGACCTGGACTTCTTTGGCATGGTTGCTGCCACGCAACTGCTCGATCGCAAGGACATCACACTCGACCACCTCCGCAAATGCGTCTTCGTCTACGTCGGCGACCCTGAAGCAGAGAACGGACAATGGGCCGTCTGGGAATGCGCGAAGCTCGACGAAGGCTCGGAAACCGAAGCGAGGGACAAGGTCATACAGTTCAAGGACCGGCTCACAGCCATGGGCAAGGAGAGCTTGTTCTTCAGATGGGTCGAGCTCATCCAGTACGAAAGCAACGCTCCGGGTGGCTTCACGCAAGAGCGACAGATAGCTGCCGCCGAGAAGGTGAAGAAGATGTTCGAAGACGAAGGAGTGGACTTCGAGGTATTTGAAAAGGAGATTGGGGGTATGGATGGGTTGGCAGGTGCATAGGCTGGACCTAACGTCGAGTTTCAGGATAGACAAAAAGGAAGCATGATTGGGGTGCGTGAACGCGTTGATGAGATACCCAATTTTGTACATTTCGAAGATTTACATCTACTCGTAAAGTCATGCCTACGTAGCATAAAAGGTTATACATGATTCGTCTCGGACTCTCCGCTCAACTTCAGCCTCTACTCCTCAGCATCTTGCCCAATGATCCACCTAGTATCTTGGCTTCCTTGCTTCTCGATCTTGGTGTTGGACTCGCATGCCTCGACTCCCGTGTCTTAGACTCTATGGGAGAAGTTTCCCTGCGCCTCCGTACGGCAGTGCCCTTAGCCTCTGCGCTGCTGGAAGAGTTGAGCGTGTCGCTGCGTTTCCGAAGACGGCGGGTAGGACTCGAAGAGGAGGTGGTTTGCGGGTGTGAGTGGGACTGAGAAGTAGCATGTGGAGATACGGATGTAGATGTCGTTCTGCGTCTGCGCTTCTCTTCGGTATGTCTGGACTCTGGTATCCGCGCCGCTGCAGGGCTAGGAGTGCGTGTCCGTTCTTGTTCCCGTTGTTGATGTTCTTGTGTTTGTCTTTCCTGCTCGGCAATCACACTTCTCCTCTCCATGTCTTCCAATTCATCGATGGATACCTGCACCACCTTCTTCACTGGTGCAGCCTCTTCTCGACGTCTTCTTACAGGCACGTCACTCCTCGACGCAGCATACGCGTCTAGAAGTTTCTCAACCTCTTTGCGATTCGCATCTGTGCTGGCTAGACGGACAACTTCCAAGACGAGGAGGAAAGCGATAATGTAGCCGACGAAGAAGCCGGTCCTGGCCCAGAACTCTGGATTGATCAGGAACGAGAAGAGTTTAATTGTGGCGAGAAACATTTTGGCGTTTTGAGAACTGATCTTGCGTTGAACGTGGGAATGACCGAAGGATCGTAGTGTAGGCGCAAGCCAGATAGTGAGGTCGAACAGAAACGAGGGGCGGCGACAAAGAATGAGTGATAGTAAGCCTTCCGACCCCAAATTACGGCGTAAATACGGCGTCGTCGTCAACAAGAAGAGAATGTACTGTGTGCGGCCCGCGCTCGAAAGATAAGAATGTTGTTACACCGCACCGTCCGCAAGTTGCTAGACCTGCTTCACGTTGCTTTTACCTCCCTCGCGCAGCAGCGAGCCCCTCCACCTTTTAACGTCCTGTCAAGCCCCCACAGAGGGCGGCATACTGAGACACTTCGAGCCCACAAGGTACGCGTCCCAGGTGTTCCGCCCCTAAACCTTGCGAACGACACCCCAGAACCGGGAAACTATTAATGGTTGGAGGATTGGATGGGCGGCGCTTGAAACCAATCAGCATGTTTCAGCTGGGGTGATGCAAGGGTGTCTGAGTTAGCAGGTGTTTGAAGTCCGCAACACCATGCCGGATGCAGATGTGAACTTGTCTAGAAGCGAGGAGCGCGCGCCAATGATCTGGGGTGGCGGCGCGATTGTGTATCAGTACCCAGGCGACGGTTCGCGTTGGTCGCTCGTCATCGGAGTCTGGCCGAGCAATCTGCAAATGGTGGCTTGCGTAGGTTTTGAGTTGAGGGGCAGGCAGAGTTTGGAGAGTGCTCAGGTGGAAGCCCATACGTCACGTGCTGCGAGGACGCGCCGCTGCTCGCGGGGCAACAAGCTGCTACCTAGGTAGCCTTTCGACATCACTGATACATCCAACAACAGCCGCATTGCGTATCGCATAACGAGCACTATAGTATATCGCATTCGCGAAATGCGATACTCTGCTGTCTGACGACCACCCCAGAATATATTCCTCGTTGTTCCTTGTCGACGCTGCCCAGGTGTTCACTCATGCCCTGACCTATGTCGATTAATCGTCGATTACATGACGGCATACTTCTATTACACAGCGTCAGTAGATACAAGATCAGGTACTACTTCTACTCCCATGTAACGGCAGTATCAACCATGTGAGACGCGTTGCTGGATGGTCCACCAACTATCGACGCTCAACAGCGAGAACAGCTTTCAAAGAAGGGAGTAATCCTGTCGTTTAGAGTGATGTGCTAGGCAAAGGCTTCGACTACGCGCGCTATACTGGCGTAGACAAGGTAAGTAGGGCTATCACCAGGTCGCTGTTGAGTAAACACTGGGCTCCACCTTTCACGTTGAGTTTGAAGCTGAGAGACCCCGCCTGCGCGCTCGAAGTTACAAGTACAGGCTTGATCATTACGGCTGAAGCCAAAGCGTGTGAAGAAAGGCTACGCCGGGAATTGGAGAAGGAAGAGGAAGAAGCCCGAGAACTGCAGGCCAAGCTTGAACAGAATAGACAACGCGCTACTCGAGGCTGATGCCAGATAGGTGGAACTATCCAAAAAGATGCGAAGCAGATGTCTTAGTCCTTCATTCCGTCTCGATCACAAAAGCATCTTAAAGCCGAAGTTGAGGTATGCGATAAATTTCTTCTTATGCAATGATCAAGGATCAGTCGATAAACCAACATGACCCTTGCTACTCACACGCGATATCCAAGACGCTATCATAATAATACAATCGTGGCGTATCCAACTCCTGTTTCAAACATGCGGCCTTAATAGACAAGACGCCTTCGCTGAATCAATGCGACAAAAGGAAAGTAATGAATGACCGTGACAAAAGCAATTCCTTGCCGTCACCTGCCCCCAGGCAGAATCTCGTCTTCAAACATGCTGTGATCCCAGCCCTTCTCCTCCATAAGTTTGGCCGCCTCGTCGCTAATCCAGTGGCTTTCCCTCATGGTGCTCCCAGCTTTGATAGTCTGGCTGGCACTGTAATTAACGGCCTGCGCCTCTTCGAAACCAAAGAACACACTCCACATGGTGGCGGCAATCCAAGAAAAGAAGGACGATATTGGTACCCACCAGCCTTGAACGAAGGTCCGGTAGATGACTGTGGGTATGACAAAGGGGAACTTGGGAGCCTTCATGTTGACGCTGAACGGGTGGGGCGACGAGTAAGCATACATCGGCTGGCAGTACATCTCGCTGTGAGACTAGTCAGTAACATTCCTGTACGCGTAACGGCAGAACAGATGCAACATACCAAGCAATCTCTTCACTTATCCACCAAGTGAAAAGGATTATCAAGAAGATACTCAAGCCTGTGAGCCCGCCCCACGCTCTCCCCCAACTGTTCGATGTCTGGCGCAGGGTCTTCAATTGTTGCTGCCAGAACAGACTTTTCCACCATCTCAACATGGAAAAGTTCTGGACATGATCGTCTATCGCGCAAGGGCATGCACGACTCACCACTTTGACTTTTTCGCCATTCTCGCCCTCTTCTACGTGCTCGACTTGGTCTTCGACGCGCTTCATGCCGCGGCTTGCGTCGCGAATGCTGGTCCGCGCTGCGCGAAGCCGGTCGTTCATGAGGTGGAGATGTAACAGTTCTTGCTGTCGCTGGCGCTCTGCCTCGTTACGAGGAGTCTCGGTCGGTAGCTGAAGGCCTTGAAGAGTGTCTTCGTCTATTTGGCTTTCACCTGACGGAGCGATGAGATCCTCGAGTGAGTTGATGGTCGAATCGCCGAAGTCGGCTGATGGCCGTCTGCCTTGAGATTTGGCTTCGTCTACGAGAGCCTGCAATGCAGACTTTGGAAGTTGAGGGCGAACAGGCTCTACGGACATGGCTTCGGATGGCTCTTCGGCCTTCTCAGACGGTCTTTGCTTGCGCGGACTGCCTTTCTTGGGTGAAAGTGAACGCGATCTGGACGCCACGGCAGGTCTTTGTACTGTACGCGGGCCTGGTGTATCGACCCAAGCACCAGTCACCACTGGCGTCTTTGGGTTCAGGGCAGGTCGCTCTTTCGGCATTGGTGTAGCTTCCACATGCTCGGTGCTTGCCGCAGCTTCCCTGGATTCAGTGTGCTCTTGCCGCACGATCGAGGTCGCTGCTGCCGCATCAGGAACCTCGGCAGAGACAGGCGTCTCCTCCACAGAGGCGGGTTTGCTTTCAGATTGCGTAGTCTCGGTCAGCACAGTCTGCGGTGCGCTGTCGAGCGGTGCCGGGGGCGCAGATTCCGGTCTGGATGGTGCTGCCTGTCTCGGGCTTGGTGTGTTGGATACTCTCGCGAGCCGCCGCAATAGATCCTGTGAGTCTTCTCTTCGATTCGGTATGCGTCTTGGAGGGACAGGCTGGGCCGTGGCGACTACTTCGCGATCTACTGTAGCTATGTTCTCAGCACTCTTGTACATGGCAACCGGCGGATCTTCCATGCCGATGCCCGTGACCGGTTGCGCCTTCCCAATGGACTGCCACGAATGAGTCCGCGTGCGCAGTCTCCGCTTGGGCGAAGGAGCTGGCTGTGTCACCTGATCTGTTATTCTCGCGCTGCTATCTACGGTGTCTACCGTCCGTATAGAAGACGTCCGCGGGCGCGATTGTTCGGGCGACCCTTGGCGCATTCTCTCCAGCCGGGCAGTGGCTGCCTGCTCCTTGACACTCTGCATCTCTCTCTGCCGTATATCGTCTAACACAGTGTTCCGTGGTATGTAAGGCGTGGATGCGATCATAGAGGCCTCGTTGAGCTCGAACGTAAGGTCCCACTCTTGCGACTGGTCGTTGCGTGGTGTGCCCTTGTGCGAGAGCGGGCTGTCTTCGACTGAGCGACGCGGCACGTTTGCATGTGCTTCATCGTAGTGGTCGTGTATTGTGTCGTCGGCTCGCTCGGGTGTCTGCTGCTGCTCTTCCTCGTACGTGATGGTACGCATCCAGTTCCGGTTGCTCCTGCTCTTCCTCCCCCATGTAGCTGGCGCGTGTATCGCCGGGTCGCTCCTCGCGCTCCCGGTGCTGCTGGGCGGGCTCTCAAATTTGACATGGCCATCCGCCCCAGCTACCGCGTTGTTCCTCTCCAGGTTGTCCAGAGTCAGCCCGACGCGTGGGTGCGTGCGTGCCTTCCGGAAAGCCTGCGGTCTGCTCCCCAGCGCCTGGTTCAGCCGCCGCTCGTCGCGCGCATTCTGGATCATGCGCTTCTCGAATTCGTCCTCGGCATCGTTTTCGAGATCGCTCAGCGCAGACCCGACGGAAGCTGCATCCTGCACGTCTTCCTGGGCGTATCTCTGCTCGTCCATCCCTGCGCTTCCATTGGCGCTGCGGGTGGTGGTCGGCCGCTGGAGGTGGGCGTAGCGGGTGTTGATAACGTTGGCCGACGGCGGGGGAAGGGTTTGGAGGGGCTGGCGCGTCGTCATTTCCGGGCAGCCTTCCTGTCGTGATGGTGCATAGTAGTGTGAGCTGCGCGGAAGCTGAATCTATGCGTGGCTAAGTTATGTTGCGGCGGGATTGCAGCGGTAAGCGCATTGGCTTGTGCAGTTGTTGTCAACTCGACGCGTCCCGACTTTCACTAGGAACGTGCACCACAGATCGCTGCAGGGATCTTATCGTCTATCTTGCCCAGGTGAGCATGCTTAGCCGACTCGACGTAGTTATATCGAAGTCAACGCTCGTCATTAGGCATTATAACATTATGCTTCGTATCATCATGCAGCCCTACGGCTCCTGGTCGTCTATGGCTGCGCATCTCTTCTTCACCATCTCCAAATCAGTATTGCCCTGCTCGTCCCTCCATGCACGCAGTACCTCCTCACGCATCACCCTCCGTGGCGCTCGCTTGCCAGTAAACAGCTCGAACTGAGCGAATGCCTGCTCGGGGATAAAGTCTAGACCGTCCATGTACGTCCATAGCTTCTTTGGCGCGTCGCGCACTTGCTGCGACAGTGGTGTATTGAGCGTCTTGTATGCCGTCTCCATCACGACACCGCCAGTCGGACTCTCCATCCACTGTGGAGGTAGCGAAAACTGCGCTGCTGGGCCCCCATCTATCGGATCCGTGGGTATGCACGAAATGATGATAGTAGGCTCCCGGAGATGCTCCGGCCAGCACTCATCGCGCGATTTCAATATCGTCAAGTTCGGTCGCATCTGCCGCATCTTCCGTGAGCTGACTTGGTCCACTGAGCTCGAGGCGAGCCGCGAGAAGTGCTCTACGAGACTCTCGGCTCTCTTGTAAGTCCGGTTGAAAATGGCAATATTCATTACACCCAATTGCAACAGCGCGTAAACAGCTGCCCTCGCCATACCGCCAGCCCCAATAATGAGTCCGCACGTTGACGGCCGTACCGCGTTAGCTGGAGAGAGACCACGTCGTACGCAGGACCGGATCCCAATCCATTCAGTGTTGTCTCCATAGAGAGCTTGGACAGGCCCAGACTGGTTGCGCTCATGAAAGAGTTCGAGGTCGCTTGGGATGCTGCCATCGTCCTTTCTCCGACGTACAGGTATAACCGTGTTGACAGCGCCAATCGCTCGGGCATGTTGACTCAGTGAGTCTACCAGCGCCATTACCTCCATCTTGAAGGGCTGTATGACAATGGACCCACCGAAGTTCGGCTTGCGTACAAGCTCCTGGAGACGATTCACAGTCGGGCTCTCGATGCGACTGAAAACGTGTGGCATTCCGCAAGCATTGTACGCTGCATTGTGCATCGCTGGCGATACGCTGTATCCTAGGCGCACACCAATGATGTACATTTGCATGGGGTCGAATGTGAATGAATTGTAGAGGGCTTGTGTCACTTCTTTAGCAGTAAGCCAAGAATCGCGTGGGTACTGTGCTATTGACGCAGTATCGTCAGCCTCGTCCCTTTTCGAGGCCGCAACAACAGGCGTAAAATGTTGGTTGAAGCATACGGAGCGTCGACCAGCTCGTCCTGTATTATAACAAATCAAAGGGATCTGGGCATCCTGCGCTGCCATTCGACGACTGAAGCTGCGAACTGAGACATCGTCATCAATGGAATGAGCTGGCCGAGTAAATCGAACGACGGAACACCCAACACGTACGGCCTTTTCGTACTGTGCCACCCAAGAATGATCCTCCCATGGCTTGTCGGCATGTAGATGTCCGATCATCTTGGTTGTACCACGAGAGTTGATGACGTCCGCAAGCGCGCCAGGGTCCAGCGACAAGTCGATAGTCGCGTACTCAGGGACCAGGCGCAAACCATGATGTATGTATTCCAGATAGAGTGTTCGGCTGCCATCCGAGGTAGAAGTAGGCAGCACATGGTATATGATCGGTACCACTGTGCTTCTGCGTACTTTCGACACACAAGCGCTAACATCGTCCATGAGGGTGGCCATGGGACGTTGTTGACTCAAATCAAGGGTGATCTCAAAGGCGTCAGCGCCAACTTCTAGGCTCTGAACGTCGGCGTCTGGAGCAAGTATGTCTTGCAGCGATACCTGCACGGCACAAGTGTATTTCCGAAGCTCGGTTGCTACATCGGACAGCGGATAACCAGGTTCTAGTGGTGGAATGGACGCCCCAACCGACTCATCCGGAAGCTCGGGAGTCGTTATAAGCGACAAGTACTTGAGGAAGGTCCTCTGCGCCCTCTTCAGTGTGAGAAATGCTGGAGCCATGGTCTGGTCATCTGACGTGTCAACGTTCCCGGCTTTGGCTTCGGATATGTTGTAAAACTCGTAATTAGAGCAGCGCCGTAGCATAGGTGCGGTAAAGGCGAACATGTCATTGAGTCTCTGCATGTCAGGCCGGCCCAGGTAGCTATGCAGGCTAGGAAGATCGCGCAGTACATGTACTACGGGATGTGTCCGACCGAAGTCTTGTATCAAGGTTTGCCCATTCCGCTCCAGAGAGACACCATTGCAGACAAGTATCGCGTCGTGGTCATGCTCATGAAGAAGACCTCTTAGCAGTTCTTCTTGTCGCAAATTATAGTTGGCCGCACCGAATTGCTTGCGGTATTTGGCAGTAGAAAAGCCCGTTGTGTCTTGGAACATGTCATCAATATCGACAACGCGCCTCCGGCATGCCATCGAGGCAATGACAGCCAGGGTGGACTTGCCAGTTCCTGGCATACCGAGAAGCACGATGGAGGCATCCTTCTTGAACGTGCGGCGGCGATAACTCGCAGGAGGGGCGGGGGTGGGGGCAGCGAGAGGAGTGGAGCGGGTACCGAACATTGCGGAGGCTGTCGCTGGTCAGTATGCGACCGATCAAGGTACGGGTTATTTTCCTACACATGTCGCCCACACTGAGCTTCCGCCTCTGACGGGATCCACCAGTCCTGGATGGAGCGGCCTCCCCTGAAATTGGCCTATTGTGCCGGCGGTAGAAGTCACTGGTGGCTCCATCGTCCTCGCCCAAGGACGCAAAGACGCGTTTCCCAACCACCACAGAAGCCATAGTCGAGACCTCCAGGATGCGCAAGACTTATTTCAGGTACCCCTTGGCCCCCGGATCCGGTATCTGGTGTTCGGGAAGTGTGCTGTAGTTCCGGTGATCCCAGGGACAAAAGGTGAGGTGCGCTGTATATTGCTGAGCCGGGTGTGTTTGCGACCTCTATGTATATGCATGGTAAGGCCGTAAACACACAAAGAACCCCAGTCAGCCTGGGGAGTAGGGGAAGAGGTTGTAAGAAGGACAACGATTACATTTACGCGACGCCATGTCGCGATGGTGGTTGGGTACTGGCGCAGGCTACTTGTGTGCGAGGAGCACTCGCACATTGCAAGTTCCGGATAAGCTATCTTCCCCCTCTTTTGCGCCTTCCCGACTTCGCCTGGACACGCGACAACTTTGCACTCCCTTAACGTGCCTTGAGGGCGTACGAAAAAACTATCCGCGGGTCAATTATTACTCACACATGATAGATCCCCGGCCTTGCAGCTGATGAGCTCCGCGGCGCAGGTGGACAGTTCAAACGGTGGGTTGGCGGCGCCTGCCACCGAGCTTTGCCGCGTTTACTCATAATACCGCAGAAAACAAATCCGCGAACCATGCGAAGACGTCATTGGCAATTTTGTCACCCGAGATTAGTTTCGGCACCTGCTCACTCGCTGTCTTTTCGTCCGAATAAGGCTCATGCCTGCCCAAGCCCAGGCAAAGCGCCGTTCCGCACCCCAGCCGGAGGAGAAGCCTGCCAAACGAACCCGAGTATCACGAGCATGTGACCAGTGCCGTGTCGCCCGTGAGAAGTGCGACGGAGTACAGCCAACGTGCTCCACTTGCTCAGGAACGTCGAGAGAATGCTCGTACACTGCAAATCCCAAGAAAAGAGGTATCCAACCTGGCTACATTCGCACTCTTGAGCTAGCACTTGCCTATTTGTTCCAGCGAGACTCTGAAAATGAGACAGCTCTCCATGAGAAGCTGGCGCAAGAAGGAGCATCTTCACTACTATTGGGTCGTGGTGACTCGAAAGAGGCAAACAAGCTGCACAGACGATGGCGGAAAGCGAAATTTTACACCGAGGTGGATAAGCTACTATCTGGAGGAGAACCTTCGCGTCATGAACAATCGACTGGAATTTCACCTCATACCAGTGATGACGACTCCGGAGCAGATGAGTCTGTAGCTGCACATGCTAGCCATACCCAGGATCGCAGCGCCTACCTACAGGAGCATGTCGAGCATGCAAATCTCGATCAGCTTATGGCAGCGTCATCTGAACCAATATTGGGAGACAGCTGGAAGCTTATAGAGGTCTACTTCACCAACGTACAATCCTGGCTTCCAATCTGCGAGAAGCATGACATCTTGAAGACTGCCTACGACCTCCCTGTTCAGGGCATTCCAAGTGTATCTGGTCAGCCTGGATCTGGCTTGTTCGCTGAACTATGGAGCGTGCTGGCGGTGGGATCACTTTACGGAACAGCCATGACGTGTAATCCGTTGGACTCTTCATCAGTAAAGCCCAGGAAACTATACGAGCACGCCAAGTCGCTCGTACCCAGTGAACTGGATCGCCTCGACATTGGCCACATCAAAGCCCTTCTCAATTTGGTTGTCTTTAACATGTTGCGAATACATACTGGAGATGCCTGGTTGCTTGTTGGATCTGCCTCAAGGGTCCTGGAAAGTGTAGACCAGGTGACGCTGATGAGTAATCCCAGAGGCAAGCATGTTTATTTTGGTTGCTTTCTGCTCGATAGCATGCTAGCACTTCAACTCAAACGGCGTCCGCATTTCCGAAGAAGCGACTTCGTACACCTTGGAACCATTGATGAAGACGGTCTGGAAGAGTGGCAACCATGGTCTGGCTTTCAGGATCCCTCACACGCAGGAAGGCGAGCCCCGTTACTCTCTCTCAGCATTTACAACAGTCTTGTCGACCTTGTCGACGTACTCATTAGCATCGAAGATACAACGTCACAGTATCTTTACAAAGATGCGGTCGAGCATCTCGAAAGATGGAGAGCGCTGATGCCTATGAAATTAGCTCACATATGTTCCGACAATACTTTCGCGATTTTGACACCACCGGCCGTCTTACTGTTAACGACGTATCATTGCGCCTCTTTCGCATGCACTCCGTCTGACAGAAGCCTCCACCGGCTGTTGGATGTGCTAGACCATTGCTTCGAACATGCTTCCTCTCAATGCCTACCACCAGCAATCCGGTGTCTGATAGACGTTGTCAATAGGCATGCAGCTCGCATTGTCCTGCATGACGTATACCACATGCGGCTACAAAGACTGCAGGAAAAGGTCATAGCCTATTTTGACGTGCCGAATCATTTGCAAGTGCCGGAGAGCTCGGTCATGCCTTTCAGACAGCATATAAACGATGCCCATATGGTAACTCCGGATCCAGGACAATCGATGTGTTCAAACACACGTCCTATAGCTCAGCCGGTGGCAGTCCCTCAACATACGCTGCATCCGGGCTCTACTCCGTCTCAATTCGATCCTCGCTGCCCAGAGCCTACCAGCGATCTGGAGAGCTTTTTCGACGAATTGGCGTCACTGGATAGCACAACTAGGTCGAATTCCCAACCACAATTCATGCAAAACCTTGGCTTCGGTCCAGAAGCGAGCATGGCCGACTTGTTCAGCGAATACACACCCATGCAGTCTTCGAATTTCATCCCTCGCGAGGACACCACGCCGACACATCTGGATCAATATAACTTCTACGATGCCAGCTGAACTCAGCTGTCCAGTTGCACTGTCAGACTGCCATAAATTTCAGTCTTCCGCCCTCGATCTCGTCTTGTCTTCCACCACTCGATGTCGAACATATATAGTATGTAGCGGCATTCATCCGATCTCTGGACTGTATCCCGCAGATGGACGTGGAAGTAAGATTTACTCTTTGAAGTCCCTGCACCCGAAGTACTCTTCCAAGGAAATATCACTGTATTCCATATTCCCCGGGCTAGTATGACGAAGCGATTAATGGAGACAACCTTCACGGCCTTTCTCAACTCTCTTATCGCCATGACGCTTGGAAGAACGAAGATGCGTTGTGGTATCCAACGACAGCACCGGATAGGATGCCTTCCGGCCTATGGGTTTACTCAAAGGCGAGAAGACGAGATTGCCCTCGGGCTGGCTGCCGCTAAGTAGGAGACGTTCCTGCATTTCGGATTTGCGAAGGGGTTGTTCGGGGGAGGCTCAATGTGCAATGCTCAGGCCACCGACGAGGCTGCACAGCCAAGCAGTGGAATTTTGAAACAAGAGGCTACGGACCATTTAGTCCTCCGACCGACCGAACTTCGAAACAAGCTGCTGACAATAATTGGCATGGATATAATTGTCATCTGGGTGATTCCAGATAGACGAGTTTCTCGATATCTCCTTGGTACATCAAAGCGAGGCGCAGCACGAACGGAGCAATGCCCTACTCGAGTATGAGTCGATACGGCGCAGAACAACGAAATAGGAGGACATGTCGCATCGTGTAATGTACTGCAATTCTGGCTAGAAATGCTAAGAGTCGCCTTGTCCTAAAGTAAGACTTGCCGGCAGCACAGTCCACGATGCCTAGAAAAAGTGGTACGGAGGTCCGCGCCGTCAGCTTATGCGAGCTAACCTACCACTCCTCTCAGATCAGGGTCCTGACTATACAAACTTGTATGGGTACCTGAATTCACCGCTAGGGCTCGATGTTCAGGGAAAATGGACAGGGGTCTGTATAGACGAGTACGGAGTCGCTTGGAACAACGAGACGACATTGGTGTGAGACGCGTCTTGGTAGCGCGTAGCAGTCTTATTCGTGATCTTCGGTTAAAATGATACTCCGGGCTTGGAGGAGGGTGCAGGGTCATCGGTGAAAATTTGCCGTGATGTTCTTTGTTGTTGTAACATACGGGCCAATGTCGGTTTGATTAGAAATGGATTTGTATTACTTAGAAAGACGGTTGAGGGAGAGATCTCGAGATCGATGTCGTCATGCATCGTTGCTTGAATCTTGGTGATACCTTGGAGTGATGCTTGGCTATGACATTCACGGTTGCGCGAGAGGTTTAATTCATACTGTCGACGCGTGTTGCTTGTAAAAGCATGCGACTGTGCCACCAGCACCGGCTCCGGCATGTTGACCAGTGGTGGGTTGAGAAAATAACAAACAAGGCTGTGTGAAGAGACGCGCAATGGTTCCTTAGCCACATGGCGTGTCCGCCCGATCTGCTGTAGGAATGTTCGATGCTTGCATCGTATGCCCAAGAAACGGAGTTAGGTACGCGCCCCAGACCTTCGAGACGAGCTCGATTGGGTCATGGTGTCGTCTGCCAAGCTACTGGTGCATGCTTACCCCACACTTTCCGGATCGAGCGGCGCATGCTTGTTGCACTTCACCTCAGCCCAGCGTCCTGGGTCTAGAAACAACGCGGACTCTCTCAATCGATTTCTGACAGCCAGTCTACCAAGCTTGACCAGGAAGTCGCAAGCACTACTGTAAAAGAGCGGCCGCTATGGGTACCGTCGTTGGCAGAAAACCTCCAAAGAGCAAGAGCTGGTAGAGAGTGAATACACACGGGTGATCAACAGCCTCAACGTCGCTATTACATGCCACCCAAGTGCATGCGGAGAACGCTAGCCGCTTGTTGGTCGCATCTATGTACGGCTTCAGCTGTGTCATAGCTCCACTTGTGCGATGACTTGGCAAACTCTTTCCCGTTGTCACTGGGCAACATCGCGAGCTACAAGCTTCGCCCTGGAAGGCCGTGCTACGAAAGGAGGCCTTATTGGCCAGCATGGGGTGCGGAAAGAACTGGCCGGTGGCGTTTGTTCGAGATGTGCTTGGAAGAGCAAATGCCAACCTTGCTGAGGCCCGGCGGAACAATTGGTCTGTGGCTATGTGCATGGGTGGCATAGTACTTATTGTCCAGCTTCCCCTCTTGTTGTGTACCATCTGGACAATCATCCACCTCATACTACCTCCTCTCGTGATATCCTAGTAT